TATCCGGATTTTCAACACTGATATAAAGACAATGCTTCTAAATGGTTCAGAGACTTAATGTGCATGTCACCCAAAGCATTTCTAACAGTCCACAGAGTTCCATCCAAAACTGCCCACTTCGCTGGATACTGAAGATCAGATGGCTGGCCAGAAAGTATACAAAATATAGAAATTGTGGCAGACAGTAGACCAACCGACAGTCTATTGAGCGAAATGTGTATGCAGAAGGAAATGGAGATGGATTGGACATACCTTAAGGAGACTGCTGAGTGACATCATACACTGACCGGGACCTCAGGCGCGACCGAAATAAAGAGCGATGAGTTAGTTCTGAGTCCAAAGGTGACATGTTGGAGACCATGTGATGAGGAAATTGGAGCTTGTGGATAGTTGTGGAGCCAGTTGCAAAATGAGGATTCTAAAATACCCGTCAAATTCAGTGGTAACATAATTCTTGCAAATCATGTGTAATTCATAAGCTGCTGGACATCATACATGTGTGCGTTGGTGGCACAGTGGTTAGGACTCTCGCCGGCCATGCACATGGCCCGTGGTTCGATCCCCTGCCGACGCACACCTGATATCTATGGTCGACCTGCAAAATTTGGGCTACCGATATCCACGCTGAAAATTCCACACTTATACCAAAAATACGGTGTGGAATCAAGCTGTAATCAAAAATTACATAATTGTAATTAGATTTTCAAGAGAAGTCGAATGTTATTTTACGTGCGTTCGTATTTCGTTGTGGGGTTCTCCTGGTGACTGACTGGTCTGAAAGTAGAACTTCGCACAGATGTGTAGAAGTTCGAGTTGGCACACTATTTCTAACCAATGGCGTAACCAAACTCTAACCACAGTTGGTGACTTGTAGGATTAGTGTCTCAAATGTCAACCAGCGTGTCACAGAGTCTAAGCGTGCTCCACCTACCGAGACGTGATGGCAGAAGGCGAGAGTCAGGTAATAGATCGTTTACTGTGGAAATCAACAGATATTTGTAGATTTCTACGTACATTATTATTCGTTATTATTGACAGAGAAACAGCGTCTTCTGATTAGTTGTTTTCTCGCTGAAAGTTATTCTGTTTTCTCTTTGTGGCAGTTTCTTTGATGGTCAGACCATATATCTGCTAATCGTATCCGCTCATGCAAAGTCTGTAGTAATTGTTTGTTGAGTTGGTTCTTTGGTCTTGTTTTTTCTCATAACCAAGAAATGGGACGCAAACATTGACGTAAATTGCTGTCTACCAATTTTGGCTAGCAACGTTTTATTCTAACAAATTGTAATAATTTTGATTCTGTCAAACAAAGCACGTAAAGGGATGAATTGTATATCATACGTAAATAGGTTGTACTGGGTTTGTACCTATGCATCAGAAGCTAATTCTAAATATCCTTCACGTGATTCGCAACGGATTTCTTCGTACAACAACTACTACTACGCTCTACTTATTTTACTTATCTTAAATTGCACCTTACCATTATCAACTCTTAAACTTATCTATGAGGGTAGTCTAATAAACAAACTTGTAATGGAATAGTATAATTTATTGCTAGTGATGTGCTTGTTGCGGGTGGTGGTGATGTGGGTATTCACTCGTTTATTTTCAATAAATAATATTAGGGATATGTCTTTTATGTGTAAGGCTTGCTTATTACTTGAAATGTTTATGTTAGCTGTTTTGAACGTCAGACTGTGCCTCATCGATGTAGTCGCCCAATTTTCAAGTAGCAAGTTTAGGCTTTTGTCAGTCATCATATCTGTGATGGTTTTTAGCGGCTAACTGGTTCACAGCCTCCTACATAATTCTAGTGTTGTACTAATTTATAGTTCGAAATAGGGATTTTTGCAGCTTGTGTGATTTTGAATTGGCATTGTATGTTAAACATGTTTTGGGGATGCGAAGGGAAGCGACGATGACTGGAGTATAATTGGGTAGAAGAAAACAGAAGTTTGGACAATCTAAGGCACTTTTGTATTCATGGTGTCTCCCACTCTTACAGTAGAACTATGTGTTGAAGTGCACTGAATTATTATCATTGAGTCGCTGCATCAACGACATACTAGTCACATATGATATCATACTGCTAATGCTTAATAGACACAAGTATTCAATGAGATTTCAGTGTCTATAGTTTTTCGTATCACAGTGGTGCATACTCTTAGAAATGTTCTCAATGTTTTATAGATATGTCTTTGCACTTATCGTTTGTGCATTTGGTGACAATAAATGAGGAGAAAACTCTGACCATTAATACTTTGTCCACTTAGTTCAAAGTTGATTTATGTTAATATCAGTAAAAAGTTTGAGCATTGTGGATTAGATTAAATAAAGTATAATTATATTTCAGTAGTTTACACACAATGATAAGTTTTTTTATTGGCAATATTTTGAGTAAAATTACTGCCCGTGTTCACACCACTGTTGGAATTGTTTTATTCCTTAAATATGTTGTTTTATTCTATTTGGATTTTTTTGTAATATTCAACTGAGCAAAAAAAGTAACTGATGAACAAGTTTAATCATGAATCCAATAGACTTTTTGAGTGCTAAGTCACTCTGTTCTGTTGTTTTCTGTATTTTTCTTATCGATAGTCATGTAAAAATGATATTTACTCTCTTTTAGCACTTTACTTAAGTGTGTACATTTTTAATCTGTACTTTTGTGTTTATCTGCTGTAATGCTCACTGTGATTTTTTTCCATTGACACACATTTATGGCATATATGCATAAGTATACATGTACATATCCTGTATATATGTGAGATCCTCTTCAAAATAATTGTTTTGCCTTTTATGCGTACATAAAAGTATGGAAAATTTCTATGCATACTAAGAATATCCACATGCAATCAAACAAAATCCCTACAAAACCAATACTTGAAAATATATATAGTCCCGTCTATTTTTAACGAAGGCGTCGAAGGATTTCACTATAGTTTGTCAAACTCTTACTGATATTAAAGTACTAATGCAGATGACTTTATACAGTGATGCGCATTAGTGAAGAGCTCTATAGGATTATACGTCTGTTGGTCATCTAACTAGTCTGTCTTCTAGTCAGATGGATACCAATGTCCCACCGCCTGGCAGAATTAGATTTGGTATCCTTTGTGTTCAAATACGAATATATAATCTGAAACAGTTAGTTCCGTTTATGAATTTCGGCAAAACAATAAGCAGACGTAATTTATGTACATTATGTACTGTGTATTTTTATGCAACACACTTCGAATAATCTGATCTCTCATGTGATTGTCGTAGGAATTTATATGAAAAAATCGTTAGTCTTTTAGGTGTGAGTGAATCGACATAGGTCAAGTTAAATGGCTATGCTGTGAAGGTGAAAATAACAATGCAAATCAATAAACCAGAATAAAGTGGGTGACAATAGCACATCAATCTTCCTGTAAATACAAAATTCACCAAGATAGGTTTAATATGATAACAAATTGTTCGTGAACACTTAGAGGTGTTATTGATTTATATTATTGTTATGTTAATGATAAATTTATAGTTTGAGGAGAGAAAGTGAAGCAAAGTGTTATTGTTTGTGATACATAAATTGGGGACGGGTATCCGGCAAATCTTTTCAAATAACACATGGATTTACACAAGCAAACAGGCTCTAGGGTTGCCCACTGTTCGGAAAAAATCAGTGTTCCTAAGACTGCAGTTTAGGGGAGATTTTAAGAATAAGATTTTATCACAACGTTAATAACCTTCAAACTGTTATCATATAAAAGCCCCCATAAGTGTGAAGGTGTTGCTTACATGTATAAAATTACAATTCGCGAGAGGTAGTATTGTTGAGATTTTATGACAGCATCTGATATGGGTGTTCAAAATGACTTTTGACGCAGCCAACTTACGCTGTTTATTCACTAGCGAACCTATAATCAGTTCACAAAACAAAGATAAACTGTCCAGTTTCGCCTCTTCCATGTGTATTTACCAGTTTAACCGCTCCTGTGGAGCTAGTAACATTGGGCGTTACGATCAGGTGAATTTATCATCGAATTTCTGAACACCTCCCATCTTGGTTTGGGAAAGACTCGAACAAAGCTGTTTGCAGTTCAATACTAACGCATCTCGTCGATACTGGACATCAGGTTGACTCTAACAAAGCCTTTAAGAGTTATCTATCGTATATCACACAACCTCTCGCATGATCTGTGGGTACGACTTCTACATCCAGCGGAGGCAATCAGAATTCATCTGAAGAATCCAAACTTGCATTCGAAAGAAATTCGTGCAGCTCCTTCCTTGTTATGACCGACTCATAATATTTATTAAGTTTTACAAACGATTTCCCCCTTCCTCTGTAACTATTTCCTGACTGTTATTTTACTAGGTAATTTAATTAACTAGTTTGCATCTTGGTGTTCTCACGTAATTCTGCTTAGCCACTCAATTCTCCTTAGTTATCATTATTTTATAAATTCCCGGATTATAAAATAACTTGTTGCCGACTGCACATCAGTCTAGTCTCGAAAGAGGTAGGTGTGTTCGGTTCTCCTGAAAACTAATACCTGGTCAATGTGTGTATCACTATGTTTGCTCATTATAGTCATTATAGATTTTTTCTCTATCTTTATGCGCTATATGAAATGTGACAAGTTGAACTACTGTTCTTGTGTGCGTAATTCTACGTTGAAAACTCAGACATCTCTTTACGACCTATTTTGGTAGGCTTAGAGTGTGTGTAGACGAAATGGCCTTGTAGGTTGGAGATATCCAAAAAATTAAGCATATTCTAGACTTTTGGGTTACAGTTCGAGGTATTTATGATGCCTTTGTGATCTCAACAATGCAAACTGCTTGCTCGAAATTATTCACCATTGATACGGAGTGTGTGCGGAACTTGAATCTTCTTAACATAATTGTAATCAGAAATCATAGCTATAGTAACTCGAAATTTCTCTTTTCGCCCATATATATAATATTAACAATACGTCCACCGTAATTTACATACTATTTATTGCCTTTTTCTTTAGCCCTTCATCACCTGTTTGTATTGATCTAAGTAAAACAGTTATTCATAGTCCTGAGACTTCTATTAACAACCGAGATTCTCGAACTTCTGATCAGTTAATTAATGAGTTCACTGTCGATTCACCAGACGGATTGTCCTATAATTGTGATAGAAGAAATTCACTTGCACAGTCTTCCTCTTTTTCTCCTCCTCCGCCTTTACCTCCGAAGAAATCTCATCTACAAAAGCTCTCCAAGAAAGTAGAAGATCCATATGAAGTGCCAAAACAAGTTGTTGTTACTCCGGTTGAAACAGTTATTCTCACCACTAGCAGCACAGCTTCATCCTCAACAGTCGCACCTGTACGTTCAAAATCATCAATTACATCAGCCAGTGAACCATTATTTCGAAGCAAAGAATTCAGTCGACTGTCATTATCACCACAATCAGGTATTCCTAAATATGTTTATTTTGCGCTTTTGCATTTATTTATAAAAAAGAGTTTCCGTGTTCAATTAGAGAAGCCTAGGTGTTAGGCTAGCAACCTCACTCTGTGGAAGAAATACATCAAATACTTCAATTTGAAGTATGCGCTGAAGATGTCACCTAGTAGGGTGATGAAAGCTTCGCAAATCAACCATCCAGCTCAGAGAACACAACAGGATCACCTCCATGTCATCCTCTAATACGCACACAGCTCTTCGTTTCCTTTTCGGGTATTTTTCGGAGGCCTGGCGCAATATGTCACTCAATGCTTCCCTCAGTGTCTGTCCGATCTATCTCGATTTCTTTCGGCGTATTTGTTGGGAATAGCGGGTTCTTTCGTTTGCTGCTAATCCTTTCAATCCATCTGATCATCAGTATGGATCGAAGACAGCTGTCGATAAAAGTCTTCAGTAGCCTGCTGAAAATGATTTTTGCGACACACCTAGTCTCTGACCCATATACAGTACTGCCTTGTTGGGCATTGCTGATGAGTTTAACAAGTAGACAACATTTTCTTCAAGGTAACAAGTCTATTTTTCGTCAGTTTTGCGGATGCCATTGAACATGAAAAGCAGTTAGCTAAATATATCTCAGAGAAATAAAAAAAGATAGGGTCAACTTGTTCGAAGAACATAGAATAGAGCTTTGTTGAAGGTTTCCAGAGTATTGCAAATTTTCTATATCTCTTCTTATCAACAAGCGTTATCAACTCAAGAACTATCGAAGGCATAGCACACTACACAGCTGTTTCTTTAACAGTTTGTTATGAAGCTCATCTGGAAAATCTGTCTAGTCCTCGCAAACCTCACAACTTAACTGCATCCCATTGTTCACTACTAAGATTAATTTCCTGAATTGCGCATTATTCAAGTCGATTTAAGGGGAGTTAGGCTTCTACACCATTATGCGAGGATGTAGCTACATCTCATTCTGGAGATGTGATATATACAACAGGACATCATTAATTGTGTCAGTCAGGTCGAGAATAATATAGAAATGTGACCTTAAATAAAGCAAGAACAAAAGTTTTGCGGAATAAATTGGTACCATCATTTATTTCGTTGGCTTCTAATCAGCTGCTTACAGTCCGAAGTCATTATTACGTATATCTACAGAAGCACTTTTAATGCTCCTGCACAGAGTTCCTTTAGAAACAAAAATGAATCAGTCAATGTAAACATACAATAATAACATGTAATTTCAAGAGTTTGGTTTGTAAGGATTACATTTGTTTATACGAGTTTGACCACAGATTGATATCAATTAGAGAACCATTGAAAACCAGGGAGTACTGGACAGCTGTTTCATCCTAGTTTGCGAATCACCGGTAGTCCGCATCCAGTGGGTGGCGGCCGCCCTAAAGCACGAATTGGTAGAAGTTGGAATTCATAGGCCATTGGATCGGGTCCCATTGGCTGAATGGCATGCGAGTTTGCCTTGTAACCGAAAGGTCCTGAGTTCGAAACCCGGTGTATGCGTACTGCTGATAATTCTCAAAATAAGATGAAACAGCTGTTCAGTACTCCCTAGTTTTCAGTGGTTCTCTAACTGATATCAATCTGTGGTCAAACTCGTATAAATAGTATTTATAATAATAACAACCACTTTATCCCGAATAATAATAATTATTCACAATGGAAACTTTTGACATTACGTAATCAAATGAAAGAGAGGATGAAAATATCCAGTAACCAGGCAGGACAAGGAAAGCTTGATAACCTCTTCTTTCTGAAGGCATAAATCTGGTGTTAGGCGTTTGATGGAAATTGTTTCGGCGAACCTAAGGAGAGTTGGAACTCTTTGGCCTATTGATAATTTTGAACGAATTCGCGACGTCCGCCTCATGACTCGTGTCGATGAGATACCTGGCGATGGCACTGTTTAAACCATTTGTTCCCTTTAGACATAGGCTTTTTGGTGCATGCTCATGAAATCGGGTGTATGCCATTCTTTCTGTTTTTCCAGTGTAACATGTACATTTGTATATACAGTTGCAGTTAACATGATAAGGATATCTGTCGATTTTTGATTGCACCAAAGAGCAGGTTGTTTGATAGACGGGAACGAGCTTAGCTGCAGGATAAACTCTGGCTAGTGGCTTCCTAGGTCTTCTGTTGACAATAGCAGTAATTTCACCTTTCAAATCAAGTTGAATGTAAATTGTCTATTTCCCACTGTGATTTGCTTGACATTTGAGCCTTCAGATCTTCCGTACTTGTTAATGAACCTTATGAGGGTAACCGTTGCTTTTCAACATCTTTTCGAAAAACACTTCTTCCTTTAATTTCTCTGTAAAGCATAATCTCGTAGCTCTATTGCATAGAGTCTTGACTAGTGCTTGTTAAAGCTATTTCGACAAAAGCTATTAAAATGTAGGTATTGTCCTTTCCATGTAGGCTTTCGGTAAATTGACTTCTGGAGACTACCATCTTCTAGGCGTTACATGGTAATGTCGAAGAAATGGAACTTTCCATCATTTTCATGTTCGATAGTAAATTCAGTATTGGTATGTGCGTCGTTGAATAATCTGAGTAAGTAGGAAGCATGACTTTCATTGTTGCACACTACAAATGTGTCATTGACATATAGGCAATAAGGAGTTGTTTTGTCGATTGCATGCTTTAACTTTGTTTTATCAAGGTTGGACATGAATATATCTGCTAAAACCTGGCTAAGTGGACTGCCCATAGCTACACCATGCGTTTGGCGATAAAGAGTGTTGTCAAACTGGAATTGCATATCCATGGCATATGTTAGGCATTTGAATTCCGACTCTGGAAGTAGGAGAAGAAATGTGACCTTTGATCAGATGACAATGCAAACAGGAGTTATTCAGCAAACCAGAGTGCCATAATTTGTTCAAGCAATCGTAAAATCTGTGGCTGATGTTGACATATTTCTACAAATAATGTAAAAACCGATGTAGTTTTTCTATTTCTTTATCTCACTTACTCGGCACAGATTTTCTTTCTACCAGGCTATAAGTCACACTCTTTATGTGAAGGATGACATTACCCAGTTGCTCAGGCTAAATTAGGTGGAGTGGATATTCCAGCATGGTGATATACTGGAATAAAATACAAGCAGACAGAGTCGTTAAATATACTAAAAGTTTATGTGACTAAAGCAACGTAATACTTAACATGAACCATTGTTACTGCGACCAGTTTTGAGTCAGATTCCTTCAAGTACTCAACTATATGCTCTGAATGAAGAGTGTACATAGATATGAGGTTGAATGGCATCTTAGTTTCAGTTGAATTAATACGATAAACTGATAAAATCAGAAGACTTACTCCCATTTAAAATAATGTAAATGGTTTACTCTGCCTTTTAGTGGGTACGGTTTCGATCCAGGTGGGGTTGAGGTAGTTATTGTCATAAAGTAATTGAGTCTCATTATATGTACTACACTAATTACTCTATATCCGCCATTTATCGATTTTAACTGGGAAACATCCGTTCACACCTTTTTTATTCTTGTTCTTAATTTTTTCTAGAAATTATTCAGGCTGACAGTAGTTCAAACACTCCCATAACAAATCCAGATAGTCTATATCATACTTCTAATATTCATGGGACAAAAAGCATAGGAGTGAATCCAATAATTTTATCAGATACAACTGGTGCTATCAAACCGGATGCTACACTTGTGTAAGTTTTATTTTGCTATATTTCTCTCAATTGATTCGTGTCATGTTCCATTTTTCTGCAAGCCTAGATGGCTAATTTTCATGGAGTTTGGACTGGAATTTTTTTCTCACTATTATTCATCTTTCGTCTTCCTGATTCTTAACATCGTTGTAGAAATGTTTTATGTTTAGTTTTTCTCATTCACAATGCGTGTAAATACAGTGGTATTTTCATTTGTGGACGGGTAAATTTTATTTCAGCGTTTCTCTACTTTATAGTCAGACATTGACGACAAAATAGCCTATGCCTTGTGTTGTGTTGAAGTTAGGTACCTGAAGTAGGTCTTTCATGTGCCATGAGCCACACTTCCTGTGTGAGGTCTAGTGACATTACTGTGTTGTTGGCCAGGCTTGAGTAGAGTAGATGGAGGAGGATTCGAACTTGGGGCCTACAGGCTGAAGGCGAAATGCTCAAACTAATGGAGCCATATCTCCACAAATCAAATTTATCTTGCTTTTGCTATGCATTCTAAAGAAACTTATTCCTGTTTTGGAAAGGAAATCTACGATGGTGTTTGTGAAGTTCATATCAGTGGGAAGTCTATGCATTGCCGAATAGATCAAATTAGTTGTAATTATATTTCCGTAGTGTACACGAAGTGATAAGTTTCTTATTTTGGTAATATTTCATGCAAAATTACCAAATTAGAAAAAAAGCTTATTATTGTATGTAAGCTATTGAAATATAATTATGATTAATTTGTGAAATTGCTGTGGAAAGAATTCGCCGCTGATTTTTTCTTTAAAAGCTTCACTTTATCTACTTCAAATAGTAGAATTCAATCTTAGAGTACCATATATTGTTTCCTACTTATAAAAATAACTGGTGTGACACAGTAGGTGTCCAACTGGATATCTGGATAATTAAGGGTTAGGCAGTTCCATGATACAAACGTCTAACGTGAAGTCACTATCGAAAGTGATGTGAGTATTAGCTTGAAAACAGGTAATACGAATATACAGAAATTAACTAAGAGCAGAATACTCGCCATCCCTGATGGATACCAGTAGTTGTCCTCACATTGGTGAACAGTAAATTTCCATAAGCAATCGAATGACTGTGAGAGTTCAGGTAGTGTTTTGAAAAGCGTAATGTAACTCTTTGGCACTAAATTCACCTTCAGACATTTCCATATAACTTTTCGACTAGTGGAGTCGAATACCACATTCACGTTAAGAAATATGGCATGTTTCAAACGGTGGCAAGTATATCTGCATCGCAGAAAATATCAAATAATGGAAATTTAGACCGATGTGCCCTTTTATGGAACTGAAGCCTATCTTTTGTTGTATTCCTTTCTGTCAAGCCTCAATTGCTTTTCAGATGAATCTACTCGGGCATTTTACATAACATGTTATTCAGGCTAATCCGTATGTGCAGTGTTTATCTAACTTATTTACCGGGTTTATAAATTATCTCTACAAGTCGATTGAGGCTATTTCAGGTCATCCTACACTCATTATCTATGAATGAATAATTTAAACTCTTCGTCATCGTCGATGCCTATCACCATCACTCTACTTGTGTTAGTCTTGATGGTATTAGATGGTCGGAGGCAATTGGCAGGAAGCCTTGGACCTAGGTTTCGTGCTAGTTGGCACTCGTCAGCAAGGCGTATCTGCAACCTTGTGTTAGTCTATTTCGGAAAATCTACAGAAACCCCACTGGCTTACCTAGTCTTTGGCTTGAGGTTATCCAACTATTTTATCTGTTGTTTTTAACGCAAATTTGCGTGATTGTAGACTTTCTGAGGCTGAGTGTCTCTTCTATACTCAAAAACTGCTCAGGCAACTTCTCTCACTCCATTTTTGACTTTATGTCAGCATTAATCAAGTAAGACAGTGTCATTGTTTGTGTTAACTTAGTGGTAGCTAAGATCTGGGGGTAATCCGAGGCGATCAATAAAAAATTTTTTTCTGGCTTAGTTCATTGGCAACGGTCATGTTTAAAAGAAGACTGAAATATTTATTGATGATGTTATTAAAAATTATTGGATGTAGTAAAGTTTAAAGAGTATGTGCAATGAACGGGTGGTTTTTGTGTGGTGATGAAAATATGTGGCCGGTTGGTAGTTCCGATTTTTCCACAACGTAGAAGTTGTTTTATGTGTTTGAATTACTTGAAACAGTTAAATACTAGTTATATATGATTTCAATATTTTGGTGGAAAGAGGAGGGGGGGCGTTCTAGTACACATAACGAGAAAGCTAAATACAAACCTGGCTGAACTGAGTAGGTTGACCTTTTCTTACTCCTCAGATTGGGAAGGTTGAATAGTCAGCTTTCCGATGGTTTGATGGTAATACCTTCATCTCTCCACCTTCCTTACCATTGCCACTGTCTGTTTTCGACATACAACTTTGCACCGATGTGTGGCAATTCAAGTCTCCACACTCCCTCCATGTAGCACGCAAAGCAAGAGTAGAAAGTAGAAGAAATGCATAATAGAGACAGTAAACAGTGGTGTGAGACAAAGGAATAGTAATAACGAAGAACGATATAGTTTCATTGGAAAGTATAAGTCACAAGGAGTGGATGCATCTGCGCCATTGAGAATAATTTTGAGCCATATCACCAATTGTTTCCGGCCATTGGTTTTTACCGTCCCGAGGACCCCAACCAGGAAGTCTACATCTTCTTACGTGGCTGGCTTAAACTAACTGTTGTAGCTTTCATTGACTGGTGCCATGTTTCGGTTTGACAGCCGCTAGCTCTTTTCCAGCCTGACCCTATATCCGCTAACATTGCCCGTCAAGGAAGGCGATGACAAGACATGTGTAACACGTGTCCTAACCATCTCAATCGGTGTTACTTCACAGCCTTGTCGATTCGTTTCCCCTCCTTACCTATCACTCGACGCCTAACTTCAATATTGCTCACCTTATTATACCACTTCACACGGTAGATAGAACGCAGGCACCTATGATCGAAGACAACTAATCTTTTCATGTCTTCCACTCTCAATGGCCAGGTCTCACAGCCATAAAGGAGGACGGAGCGGACTGATGAGCAGTACGCCCGCCCTTTGGTCGATAGCCGGATATCACATCTACGCCAGAGACAGCGTAAACTGGCATATGCGAAACTAGCCCTCTGTATCCGTGCTGAGATTTTGTCAGAGATCAACCCGTTGGGGCTGACGGTACTTTCCAAATAAGTGAAGCGGTCAACGTGCTCTACCACTTCACTCTCTATTTCTAAACTAGGAGTCAGTGTAGTCCAGTCCTCTAACATCACCTTGCATTTACCATTGCCATTGAGACTTCGTTGTCAAACCCTCGCATCATGGTGCAAGCAACGTGCATCATTAGAGTAACTATTATTTGTCTAACGGCATTCCATTCACACCCTTGTGGGTTGTTAGGACGTATAGGAATATTTTTTGTGCAATATTACTACCCTTTGATGACCTATTGCGCTAGTGAAGACGGACCCCCACAACAAGACAACGGGCTGCTGATTGATTTGCATATTGTTAACGTAGAGTAGTCATATGTACAGTGTTATATTTCTTAATTTGAAATGTCTATTCGTTGTAATCATTCATATATCCTAACTACAAATAATTTACTCTGATCGTCCTATTTATTTATCTGCCGAATAAATATTATGTTACTGCCTTTCATAAAAATATCTTTCCTTTGCATCATATGCTCTTCATAATTGAATGAATTTCGGTTGAAAATACTAACCTGTATGTAGTAAATTAAGCTACTTGTTGATGTGTATTGATAGTGTATGTTTGTATATCTCTCTGTTCATTTATTGGTTGTGTGACTTATAGTCAGCTTGTGTGACAACGTGTATTATTTTCATGTGTCTAACTTCACTTCTTCTGTTTTAAAAAATTATACCGCTATGGTATTAAACTGATCAAATTTATTTGTAATTAACTCTCATTTCCCACAGTCTACATTATAAATGCCATGTCTTATTTGAATCAGTCTTGGTATTTCCCTCTCACACTCACACTCACTCTCACGATAGGTCTGCGAATAAAAGTGGGTGTTTGGATTGCTTTAACGTTTGTGTGTGTGTGTCGAAAGCAGAGCATTATTATGTACCCTGTTTACTGATGAGCGGTTGATATATTAGTAACAACGGTGTCTCTATTTAAATGAATAAATTATGTTATCTATGGATCTGTTGATCTTGTGAGAACTTTGACTGGATTACAAAATAGATTTACTCGCCTAGATTACTAGTTAGCTAGGTTTTCTAGCCGGTCCCAAGCCCGGATAAAGGAGGGAGGGTTGGGGTGTGGTGCTAGCATCTCCACCCCCGCAAAACAACCAAATCGCTACAGAAACTTCAACGAATAAATATATTAAAAATTCTAAAAACATAAACAATAGCCTTATTTTTCGCTGGAATCGGGAAAGTGAAATGACGCAGGCTGGTGAAAGCCTTCGGGAAGCCAGTCAGCCGATGTGCCTTCTTTCGATGAAAGCAAAAGTAAGGATGGGTACCTGGAATGTTCGTACAATGTACGAAACTGGAAAGGCTGCCCAGATAGCCGCTGAAATGAGAAGGTACAGAATAGAAGTGTTGGGAATCTGCGAAAGCAGATGGAACGGAACTGGAAGGTGCCAACTACCTACTGGAGAGACAGTAATCTATTCCGGCCACCCAGAGGACAACCACGAGCACACCGAGGGAGTGGCCATCATGATGTCACCAACAGCAGCCAAAGCTCTCATGCAGTGGGAACCAATCTCCTCCAGGATAATGACAGCCAGGTTCAACTCAAAAGGAAGGAAAGTTACAGTCATTCAATGCTATGCGCCTACAAACGTCTCAGAACAAGAGAAGAAGGAGGCGTTCTACAGACAACTACAAGCAATAATGGACAACGTCCCAAATGGCGATATCAAAATCCTGATGGGCGACATGAATGCGAAGCTGGGAGGAGACAACACAGGAAGAGAACTCACCATGGGTCGAGAGGCCCTCGGTGAAATG